AAACCAGTGTCTGTCATCAGTAATGGACGGGGGAAGGCAAACAAATGGAAACAAGACAGAAATGCTCCTGGTCAGTCAGAAGACAGACCAGGGAATAAGGATCTGGCCTATGCTGGATGGGGTCACACTCCCCCTGAAGACACAGGTCCACAGTTTGGGGTCCTCCTGGACTCCACACTGAATCTGGAGGCCCAGGTCTTGGTGGTGGTGGCTGGGAGATCCTTTGCACAATTAAAACTTGTGCACCAAAATATTTTAAACTGTATTGAAATGCTTTTAATTTAAGTCGCTATGAGTCTCCTTGTGGAGAGAAAAAGTGGGGTATAAATAAACATAATAATAATAATAATAATAATAATAATAATAAGCAGATGAAACAATAGATCACATCTTCAGCTGCTGCAAGAAGATCATGCAGACAGACTACAAGCAGAGGCATAACACCATTGCTCCGATGATTCATTGGAACTTGTGCCACAAAGACCATCTGCCTGCGACAAAGAACTGGTGGGATCACAAGCCAGAAAAAGTTACAGAAAATGAACACGTCAAACTACTCTGGGACTTCCGAATTCAAACTGAGAGAGTTTTGGAGCACAATACTCCTGACCTCACGATTATGTTAAAAAAACAAGTATGGATCATTGATGTTGCAATCCCAGGCAACAGCAGGATGGAAGAGAAACAACTGGAAAATCTGACATGAGGATTTAAAGATTGAACTGCAAAGACTCTGGCACAAGCCAGTCAAGGTGGTCCCAGTGGTGATCGGTACACTGGGTGCAGTGCCTAAAGACCTTGGCTGGCATTTAAACAGAATTGGTGCTGACAAAATTACCATCTGTCAACTGCAAAAGGCCACCCTACTGCACACATTATTCGCACGCATTATTCGCCGATACATCCTAGACACTTGGGCAGTGTCCTACGTGTGATCCAATACAACAGGCAGCATAGTGATCTTGTTTGCTGTGTACTAATTTTGTTGTGTATCAAATAATAATAATAATACATCACAAAGTCCTAAACACTTGGGAAGTGTTCAACTTGTGATTTTGTGATACGAAATGCAGCATATATATTTTGTTTGTTGTGTCATACTGTGTTTTTTGTGTTAGTAAAACAACAACAACAACAACAATGGAATGTGGTACAGACAAGTGGGTGCAGAAAGAAAAACATGAGATCTGAACCGAGAGAAAAATCTTTCCAGACCCCAACAAGCTTTTTATACAAAATGTTACTAGAATAAACCTCCAGATTATAGATTGTTCATCTTCTTATTTTTCTAAGATCTACAGAGACTCTTGCTGGAACACCCCAGCAAGGGAGAGTCCAAAAGTTGCAGGCTCAAACCCAGAACCTCAATCAATGGCTGATACCAAATGAGAGACTCCCCTCTGGGCACACAGAAAACTGGGTGACTTGGAAGGCGCTGAACAGACTGCGCTCTGGCACCACGAGATGCAGAGCCAATCTTAAGAAATGGGGCTACAAAGTGGAATCCACGACATGCGAGTGTGGAGAAGAGCAAACCACTGACCACCTGCTGCAATGCAACCTGAGCCCTGCCACATGCACAATGGAGGACTTTCTTCCGGCAACACCAGAGTCACTCCAAGTGGCCAGATACTGGTCAAAGGACATTTAACCAACTACCAAGCTTGCAAATTCTGTGTTTTGTCTGTTTGTTTGTTTTTGTTAAAAATGTAACACAAATGTCTGTTTGCTGATAACACGATAAATAAATAAATCTTCTTATTTGAAACTATCCCTGATGCTTCAAATGAGGAAACATAATATATTTTATTGTTGTGTGCCTTCCAGTCATTTCTGAACTATGGTGGCCCTATGGCAAACCTATAACAGGGTTTCCTTGCCAAAATTTGTTCAGAGTGGGTTTACTTTCCTCTGAGATTGACAGAATGTCATTGGCCAAACTGGGATTCCAACCCTGGTCCCACACCAACACTCAAACCACAACACTGTGCAAAAATCTCTTTTCATTTAGCTATTTATTTATCCCTGGCCTTGAGCCCAATGGGGTGCTTTGCTCCTACAGCTATTGCAAGAGAAAGACTAAAACAAATTAAAAGAATATCATACTTTTCAAGTATTATACTTCTTCAAATCAAAAAGGTCTCTTTTGAAAAGCAACTCAGTATGCATCAGATCAAACTAAATATGCATTATGAAGAAGCCCCAAGCTGAGTAGATGAAAAATAAATGTGAAATACAGTATGTCAGAATGAAAAATACAAATTGTAGTACCTCAAGAACAGATCATAAAAGAGGATATAAACATGACCAACAAAGTCTTGGAGGACATGCAACCCCTGAGGTTTACAGCTGCATTCCCTTTTTCTCCAGGAACAAAAATGGAGGGAAAAGTGGATAAAGATAAATACGCAGTCCTTTGAAATAAGGGAATGTTAATGCTCCTTCAATCAAGGACAGTTCCCTTCATTGTTGCACAGCGTACTTCAAAGAGTGTCCTTGGGTAATGTCACCGTGGCCACAAGTGTTTCGAAGGCATTTGGAGCCCTGGCTCCTTTGTTTCTCCAAGCCTCGTGTAACCATTCGTCTAGTGCAAAGCAAAAATATGTCACATCAAAAATGGAAGCATTTTTCATTGAAACCCTTTGCTTTCTCTTTGTACTGGAGTAAATAATTATGCACACAAGAGATTGATAGCGCATTTATCTGATGGTATATGAAAGACATATTTGACCACAAAAGCTAGAAATGGTTTTTGCTTAGCAAATTCCGAAGAACTGAACACCAGAATCACTTGGGCACTTTAATTTTTTGTCTTAGCTGCTTCGAAGTACCTGGTTGCTTCCTAGGCCAAAACTGCTGTCACTCTGGCTTGACACACAGCTGTACCTAGAGGTACAATAAACAGCATTTTCAACTCTGGCAATCCATCAAATGCTCTCTGCAGCATGAACCTGACATTATCTGTTTGGTGAAGTTGTGATATGTGGCTAATTCTAAATAATGCCATTGTGCCAAATAATTATTTCTGTTGTACTCCAAGTCTAGAACCACCTCTGTACTTAACAGACACTCCAGTCCAAGGAAAAATAACAAAACAGTTTATTGAATAATGCAATTCAGCAAAATAGTGTAAGAAACCAAAACTTGGAATCATGAGATATGAACAAAAGGAAACATGAAACTAGAAATCTCTTGACTTGACAATAGATCTATTGTAAGGGATTCCTCATCTTGGGAAGAGGAAGGGGAGCAGGGAAGTGCTCAGGAATTGGAGGGAGAAGAAGTATCAGACAATGAGGTTTTGCAAGTGCCCACACTTCTAGAGAAATGAAAGGAAACAGAGCACCAGTGGCGTTCAGCTAGGGTAGCTGCTAAAAACGCTGAGCTAATTGGGAGACACCCTAGCACCTCCTACGTGGGGAATTCAGGGCTATAAATCAGAAGCAGGAGTAGGCAGCTTTCGCTGGTAATGACTCTGATGCCGAGGTTTTCACTCCAATTGAATCTGCTTTGTGTCTGCCACTAAGGACTTGGTTATCATTGTCTGTTGTCTGATAGAAGACTGCTGTTTATATTGGGACTTTGTAAGAGACTTTAATTTGTGTCTGCATTAAGGCTTCCTTGCTTTCTTTTGTATTTTTCAACTGCATTTGCTTATCCTTTGTCTTTGTTGAAATAAAGCATATTTCTTTTACTTTCCACACTGTATTAAGGCTTTGAAGAGCAACTCAGGACATCTATATTCAATCACCCACCTGGACTAACGGACCCATCTGCTGGGCTAGCTAATAGAGAGAAAATCATGCCTTCTCCCCTGGAAACTGATAAGGACTTCTTTGCTGATAATAGTTTTGACCTTCGTCCACTCTCCTAAGGAGCCCTATGCTGACGAAATGTAAATCTCCTATCTAACTGCTCATTAGTCTGTCCACCTGGACTTTTATTTTCATCCTCTGAGCTCAGATCTGTGTCTGAAGGCCACATTCCTGAAAAGCAGTTTGCTTCACTAGCCTTCAAATACAGACTGCTCATTTTCAGGGCTTAAAATCTCTTGCTGGCTTTCCTGCTGACTTGCAGACCCAGAATCCCCAGAGAGATCAGGTGTAGGCACAATCAAAGAACTACAACAATTTATATGATTTGTTACTCATCTTTACTCATTTCAAGTGTTGTAAGAGCATAGAATCACATAACTATTGCACTAGAACATACTACAAGAGCCATCCAGTCCTACACACTGCAGTGAGACACGAACAAAGCGCTCCCGAAAAATGGCCAGCCCCCATTTACAACACTCCAGAGAAGGAGGTTCCACCTCATTCCCAGGCAACGTATTCCATTGTTGAGCAGCTCTTTCAGTCAGGCATTTTCTTCTAATGTCTAGGTGGAATCTCTTTAACCCTAATTTGAATTCATTACACCAGCTCTTAATCTCTGGAACAACAAAAAACAAATTTGCTCCCTCCTCAGCATGAATGACGTCTTTACAAATATTTACATATGGCTATCTTGTCACCTCCTCACCTTTATCCAAGCCAAGCACACCCATCTCCCTAAAACCTGCATTTCATAAGGCTTTGATTGTGGACCTTTTACCACTTTGGCTGTCCTTCTCTAGACATATTCCAATTAAGCATCTTTAATTGACTAGAAGAAGGCTTTTACAGTTTGGGGCCAAGGCACTTCCTCTCTTATACCCATTTGCCTATTCTCTAAACTCGGTTGACCTAATCAACTCACCCAACCACACTTTGTGGCAATGAGTAAAGAGGCTTTTTCTTTTATCAATATCACACAGGCAATTTGCTCAAAGATCTTAGACAATGCATTCCTTACTACATTCCACCAATATCTGAGGACTTTTCCATCAAGCAAGTAACCCTTTTTGCTGCTTTCAGATAGACTGTGTTTCAGTTACTCCTAGTTGACTGCTTTTAACATGTATGTCTAATCCCAATTATTTGAATGGTCATGGGGTTTAAGACTGTCACTTTACTTACCAAATAGTGCCATATGCATTCCTTCAGGAAAAGGTTCAAACAAAGTGTTTCCATTCACATGGTGTTTGTCTGCAAGAGAAGGAAATATTGACATGTCAATTATGGAATTATATCGTGGAAACAACTACCTACAACAAGCGGAACAGTTAATTATACATTATTATAATTATTAATTATAATCAGGGTAATTGTCATTTACAGTTGCTGCAAAGCTTTGGAGTTAGATTTGTTGATTTCCATGCCTCAGTTTTTATTTACAGCCAATACCTTGGGTGGGGGGGGGGGGGGGGTGTCTTATTCTGAAAGGTTTTCAAAGATAAAGGTTTTAAGATCAGTTCAGGGGATACTGAATATGCTTTGAATATGTTTTAATATGTTTTAATAGTTTTTAACTTGGATTTTAAAAATACTGTTTATATTTAATCCTGCTTTATTTGTGTATTTTAAATTATATGCTCATCTTTTTATGTTAAGCTACTTTGAGACTCCTGCAAGAGATATAAAGCAGGGTATAGATAAAGATAAAGGTTTCTCCTGACATTAAGCCTAGTCGTGTCCAACTCTGGGGGGGGGGGGGGGGGGGGGGGGTTATGCTCATCTCAACTTCTAAGTCGAAGAGCCGGTGTTGTCCATAGGCACCTCCAAGGTCATATGGCCAGTATGACTGCATGGAGCACTATTATCTTCCCACAAAATCAGTACCTATTGATCTACTAAAACTTCATGTATTTGAACTGCTAAGTTGGCAGAAGCTGGGGCTAACCGCAGGAGCTCACTCCGCTCCTCAAATTCGAACTCCCAAATTTTTGGTCAGCAAATTCAGCAGCTCAGCTGTTTAACCCACTGCACCACCAGGGGGCCCAAAGCAGAGTATAATCAATAATAATATTGATAATACCTTTTCTGTATTCTCAAAAGATCCTTTATTGTCCAGACAGTGGTTTGAGTGCAAATGTTACTCAAACAATACTCAAGATGGTATCACATGGCTTCAGAGTTACTTGGTCAGCAAGCTCTCATATACTGTTACAAACACATGTCTAGCTTCTTTGACAGAAGTGTATGTTGTTGCTGCCGTTCTTTAAAAATGGGTTTACTGCATCTTAATTTCAAAAAATGGGCAGATCCATCAGGATGTCAAAAGAGGGCTTCAAGAGTCTAAGGACTATAGATATCAAAGGTGAGTAGAGGAAGGAAAAAGGTCCTGGATGTGTCTGCAGTTAGGGATCCCTATCTGAATGGTTGTGTAGAAGAAGGGATTTCAGAACATCTTGCTTGTCTCATTGAAATCACATTTTTACACAACCAGTAAAGGGGAAAGAGTTGATGCAAGCAACACATTATTATTATTATTATTATTATTATTATTATTATTATTATTATTATTGGATTGTCGATGTTGCAATCCCAGGTGATAGCAGCATTGAAGAGAAACAACTGGAAAAGCTGACACAATATGAGGATTTAAAGATTGAACTGCAAAGACTCTGGCACAAGCCAGTCAAGGTGGTCCCAGTGGTGATCGGCACACTGGGTGCAGTGCCTAAAGACCTTGGCCTGTACTTATACAAAATCAGCGCTGACAAAAATTACCACCTGTCAACTGCAAAAGGCCACCCTACTGGGATCCGTAAGCATTATACGCCGATACATCACACAGTCCTAAACACTTGGGAAGTGTCCGATGTGTGATCCAAAACAACAGCCAGCAAAGTGATCTTATCTACTGTGGACTCATCTTGCTGTATTATTATTATTATTATTATTATTATTATTAATAATAATAATAATAATAATAATAATAATAATAATAATAAACTTTATTTATACCCTGCCACCATCTTCTCAAAGAGACTCGGGGAGGCTAACATGAGGCCAAGCCCAAGCAATTTCAAAAAAGCAAAAAGACATATAAAACAAACAATAACATCGCATATAATGCTTAATAATAACATAGCAATGAAATGAAAATAAGAAAACAATAATAAAAACAAAGGATAAAATGGTAATAGAATTAGACAAAGTGAGCTAGGCCAAATGCAATGGGTAAAAATGGATAAGACCAATGGGTGAGATGGATAGAAAGTGCTATGACTAGTGGGAGACTCAAACAAGATAGCAGTAGAGTTAATCTTCAACCGAAGGATAAGATGAAGAGCATCAGAGACACAAATTTGGTCCTGGGAGGGGATGGAAATTGATTTTTCAATACCCAAAAGCACACTGGAAAAGCCAAGTTTTTAAACTTTTTCTAAAGTCTGCCAGGATGGGTGCCTGTCTAATCTCCCTGGGGAGCGAGTTCCAGAACTCCCCACTTCTGCAGAACTATTCAAGGAACAAGAGCATATATGTCTATTTCAAGTGACAACCCCTTCAACAGTGACCTTACTCACACCTGTATATGTTATCTAGCATTAGATACTTGGAAAATATTTTGATACTTAGATCCCTGTTTCCTCCTCCTCTCTATTTAGGGCACCCAGCAAAGGTATTTCTGGAAATACGAAATATTTCATACTCCAAAACTGTGCATATGAATGGATGGGACAGTAATTGGCTTTCAGGTGGTTCAAAGTATAAAAATTATGTTACATGCTTGAAATGATTTTAGAATATTGTATAAAGCCACCTCCAGGTTATGTGTATAAGGTGTATGTGAAACAATTAATATTCATGTTTAGACTTCAGTTTCAAATAATAATAATAATGCTTTACTTGTACCCCGCTACCATCTCCCCAAGGGACTCGGTGCGGCTTACATGAGGCCAAGCCCACAACACAACAACAAAAACAATAGCAATAGTATACAAACAATAAATAAACTCATAAACAGAAAATAGCAATAAACATTAACAATAACACAGCGACGTTTAAAAACCTATGACAGGGCCAATGTATTAATTAAAAATTTAAAAAATAATGCTGGGCGTGACCAGTGACATATAAACAGGACAGAAATTTTGGAGAAGGATAGAGCATGCAGACAATCCTAGATCATTAAAAAGTGCATTTAGGGACATATTGCCGGGAGTTTCCTTATTCTGGGAAGACATACTGGAACAACCACGTTTTCAGGCTCCTCCTAAAGACTGCCAGCATCGGGGCATGTCTGATATACAAATGCAGGTATGCAAAAATCCAAAAAAAACATCAAAAATCCAAAGTACTTTAGGTCCCAAACATTATGGATAAGGGCTGCGCAAACTGTACCTTTACAGGTCATAGGAAAACAGACATTTACACCTTAGAGATGGATGCGATGGCCTCCTATCTGTTCACTTTTGCGAAAGAGCTCAACAGGCCATTAGAGTCACTTACCATGTATTATCAATAATGATTACTTCATTAGACCCTTGTTATTTATAGCTAATAGGCTTTTAAAATACCTGGCTTTCAATTATGCCTCCCTGAAATACAATTCACTTTGGCATTTTATTTCAAAACCAATTTATAGTGCTGTTGTGACACACAAGTCTAAAGAAAACATAGGACTCCATTAATTTCCTTCGAACAGCCTTCCATTAAGGTAGAGGTCGGCGATAGATTTACAGCAAAACTCCTCTAACAGCTCCCAGATATTTTAATATTAAGTCCCATCACCTCTGTTTAGAACACACCTGCTAATCAACATGTAATCCACAAACTACCCAGAAAAAAGACCTCTGATTATCTACTTTAAGGAGGTGGCGCTCATTCAGTGAAGTGCACCAAATAACACAGATAGAAAGAATGTGCCCCAGCCATAAAAGCTCCTCTCCTATGAGCCTGCCTAAAATTTGCAAGAGTCCCTGTAACTGTCCTATGGCATCAAAACACTAGGATGGTGAGTATGTGAACCTCTTTCCTAAGGGAAATCAGACTGAAACAATGCTTTGAAAGTTTCTGACAGGCAGGATAAGACCAGGTTGTTTCACATGCCCCTTGGTACTTAAAATTGAGGGGAAGCCGGTCTGGCTGTCTCAACTGTCTGGGCCTATGGATTATTTTTAAATGATATTTTATATCTGATTCTGGAAGATTGTATTGATGTATTTAATGTTTTCAATGTTTTGGTCTAGGGTATACTGCCCTGGGAAAGGGGCTGAGAGGCAATGTATGGGTGCTTTAAATAAATAATAGGTTATTTATTTATCGTGTCAGGAGCAACCAGACAGTTGTATTTCATTTTTAACAAAACAAACAAACAGACAGACAAAACACAAAGTTTGCAAGCTTGGTAGTTGATTAAATGTCCTTTGGCCAGCATCTGGCCACTTGGGAGTGCCTCTGGTGTTGCCGCAAGAAGGTCCTCCATGGTGCATGTAGCAGGGCTCAGGTTGCATTGCAGCANAGCACATTTTTTAAGAATAATATTAATGGGTTCAATCATCACAACATGCGGGACTTCCTGCAGCACATTTTTTAAGAATAATATTAATGGGTTCTATCATCACAACATGCGGGACTTCCTGCAGCACATTTTTTATAATAATAATAATAATTATTATTATAATAATAATAATCTATATATATAAAAATGCTCTGTGCGTCATGAGTACCTTAAAAACAAAAGAACCAATGAGCGAAATCACACCCATTTTGGCAACAAAATGTCTCCCAACACGAGGAGTGACCACCACTCAAAAAAAATATGATTTTGTCATTTGGGAGTTGTAGTTGCTGGGATGTATAGTTCACCTACAATCAAAGAGCATTCTGAACTCCTCCAACAATGGAATTGAACTAAACTTGGCACACAGGACTCCCATGACCAACAGAAAACACTAGAAGGGTTTGGTGGGCATTGACCTTGAGTTTTGGAGTTGTAGTTCACCTCCATCCAGAGAGCACTGTGGACTCAAACAATGATGGATCTGGACCAAACTCTACACGAATACTCAATATGCCCAAATATAAACACAGATGGAGTTTGGGGAAAATAGAATCTTGACATTCGGGAGTTTTAGTTGCTGGGATTTATAGTTCACCTACATTCACAGAGCATTCTGAACCCCACCAACGACGGAATTGGGCCTAATCTTCCACACAGAACCCCCATGTGGGCCACAGCAACACGTGGCGGGGGACGG